CTTTCTTAAAGGGAGTACAAGCACAGTGCTCTTTAGAGGCAAATAGGGTGAAACTACATCTCACATACATTTGGGCATATTGCCAAGAAAAGCCAGTCCTTAGAAAAAGAAATTATTCTGGGAGAGGCATAGAGTTAGAGAAAGAGAAGTACCTCAGTGATCTGGATTGACATGATGACTATAACCATGTGAGCGGGCCTGATGATGGCACTGGATAAGACAGGGTTCTGATCTGTTCTTCTTAAGTTGTACAAATCTATTGTTTGTAATTCATAACTAAGAGTTGTAGTTGACTTATAGCAACTAAACAATAATAAACACCACCTTCTATATGATACAAAAATTTCCATTTGATAAAGCTATCCCCTTGTCATATTTCTGCTATAGCAACACTAGACAATACAAATAGGATCCAGGATTACAGTTTCAAGGAGCAAAAATTCTCATTTTATAAAATGGTGCAGGAGTCACATCCACTTCCTAAACAGCATGGCTCTGGAGACTCTGTGAACTTTGATAAATGTTGTAGAAAGGCTTCAGGCTTTTTGTTCATAGGGTTGCTATGAGTTGTGCTTGACTCAGCAGCAATCAACAACAACAACAACTTATGTATTCAATACTGAAGACCACCCAGCAGAGAGGGAAGAGCCCTACCAGTCACTCAGGAGTCTGTCCCAGCGAGCAGAGAAGAGAGGGCACTGTGAACTTCCCTGACTACCCAACAGTGAAGAAAATACTTCCTGGGACACCATTCACTAACAGACCACTGATACCTGGGTAGGAAACGGTCCCAAGCAACATTCCTGGGACTTTCTCAGCTCCTCAGAGGCTCTGTCTGTTCAAGGGGAAATAATACTTACCATCAAGCTTCAGGATAGAACACAAATGGAAGAGCAACTTTGATTACTCCTAGGGGAACCCGTCCTCTCCTAACAAACTACAGGACAGGACAGACAAGTGGGCCCACCATAGCCAGGGATACTATACACCAAAATTATGGTAGTGCCTTTTTGTAGAGTAACTCATTTAATCTTTCCTCTATCCTGTAAATTAGGAAGTTTTATAATGTCCACTTTATAGGAGAAAATGGATGAGTACCAGTAGTAAAGTTATAAATAATAAAACAATTTGGAGTAAAATGGTAATTGGTGCAAAAAAACAACAATAATTTTTCATATCTGTATAATTGTTTTCTTTGAAGAAATTCTGTTAACTACCTATTTTATTTTTATTTCCACTTATCAATCTATAATACTAGGGTGATTCAAGTATAGTTATAATTCATTTGATCTTTTCCACATTCAGTGTCAGAATATTTATTACTACCTGTTTACCGCTCTGCATTCCAATTATTACCCTGAGCTTTCTATGATGCTATCACTTTATAAGTTTCCTCAGGTTATTTTGCATTTAAGATTTAAAATTTAATCAGTCTCACAAGCTTTAATAAATACCTTAAAAATTAAAATTACTCTCATTTTCTTTACTCCTTAGTTCCCATTTTTACTGTTGCCTTTCTTTATAATTAAATTTTGATTTAAGAATTAAATGTTTTTATCCAAAAAGTCATGAAGGCAGGATCTCTCTGAGTCATTTACAATAGCAAACTATCTACCTTGACAGGAAAAGGGCAATGGAGTAAAAGTAATGTTTAGCTTCAATACAGTGTGTATGTTTTCAGAAAAAAAAAAAGATACTATTTTATATTATTTCATTTCATTAAATAAATAAATTATAATGTCATAAATCAAGTAATGTTATCATTAATAAAATTATGAAAAATCATATACTAACCTTGGACTCATCTAATCCAAGTTTCTTCAGTGACTTTCTGACATAATCCAGAAAGGAAGAGGATTTGGAATACATTTTACCAACATGCTGATTACTGTAAAACAAAATTAATCTATTTTAAATTATTTATCTAGTTTTCCAATTTAACTTACAAAGTTAAATTATAAAATTATACAAAACCAGCCAATTTAACTTATGCAGTTAGATCATAAAATTATACAAGGCAAGCCAAAGTCAGAACCTGTGTAATGTTGAAACCTGTCAGAGAAGGAAAATATTTTCCACTAAAATCAGCATTAATAAAATAGTAAGACTGCAGCCACTCAGAAGAAGAAACTTGTAAGATCTAGAAAAACAAGACAGTCTCAAGTTATAGCTTTCGAAACCTCACTGCACATTATCTGAAATAAAATCACAGGACGTTTTCAAATACTTTCTGTGTATATCACATAAGCTCCAGATGTGATCAACATGTAGTAATATTTTTGTGAACATTTAAAAAATTATGAGTTATAAAATATTCAAATCTGCTCCTGTGCATTCTTTCAACAGAAAAGACACTATGATGAGAAACTAGTTTTAGAACTATAAAATCACTCTCATTTTAAAAAGGAAACAATAGGTTTTACAAAGTTTCCATGTACTTAAAATACATTTCAGTTTTCGTAGAACATTATAGTAACACATGCTAACAGTGGCAGTAATTATAAAACTAAGTGAAGTAAACTTCTGGAAGACGTCACTGATGAGCATCATCGGCTGAATCCAGTCTGACTTGATCTCATGCCTTGGAAATTTTCACTGTAGCCTAAGCAAAATATCATGATGATTTTGAATTTAAGTAGGTACAGATAGATGATCATATGTCATAATTCTGATGTAGTTTAAGTATAATGTAAAAATCAAGGAAAAAACCCAAGTTTTTAAAAACAAAAAATTAAACTTCATTTACTTTTGGTAGTGTAAATATTAACACTTCTGATGACTTAGCATAGAATTCTACCAATTTCTTCTTTGAGATATGTTGTTAGGTGCTGTTGAGTATAGTTTGACTCTTAATGACGCTATGAACAACGATCAGAACGCTGTCCTATCCTGTGCCACCTTCACACTTCCTGACACTAGAGTCTACTGCAGAATTCTCCATGTCAATCCTTCTAGTCTAGGGTCTTCCTCTCCTTCACTGACCTTCCCCCCTTCCGAGCATCATGTCCCTCTTCAAGCAATAGCCCCTCCCAGCAATATGCACCAAGTATGTGAGGCAAAACCTCCTAATCCTTGCCTCCAAAGAGCACTACACCTGTACCCTCTCCAAGACATATGTGTTTGTTCTTTTGGCTATCCATGGGATATTCAATGCTATTCTCCAACATCACAGCTGAAAGGCATCAATTCTTCTGTAATCCTTCTTCATTGTCCAGCTCTTAGATGCATAACAAGTGATAAGCAACACTATGGCCTGAATCAAATGCACCTTAGTCCTCACACTGACATCATTACTCCTCAAAAATTTGGAGAGGGCTCTAATTGTAGATACTCCCAGTGCAATGCATCACTTTATTTTCTGATTGCTGGTACTGAAGGTGTTAATTGTGAATCCAGGTAATATGAAGTTGCTTACTGTTTCTAACTCTTCCCCAACCATCTTGATGTTGTCTATCAGTCCAGAGGTAAGAATCATTGTTTTCTTGACATTGAGATGCAATCCATACCAAAGACTGCATTCCTTGACCTTCTGCAACAAGAGTTTCAAGTCCTCACTGTCAGTAAGGTTGTGCCTATCTGTATAATGCAGGTTATTGATGAGTCTTCCTCCAATCCTGATGCCACATTCTTCTTCACAGAGTCCAAATTCTTGAAAAATTTGCTCAGCATACAGACTGAATAGTTATGGTGAGAGAAGACAATCTTGATGCACTCCCTTCTTAATAGTGAGTGGAAATGAACTGGTATTGGCCATTCCTAGTTGCATAATCTCATGTCGTATGATGCTGGGAATGATACATTGAAGAAGAGTGTCACACTCATTGCCAAAGAGAACATTACAACATCTATCCTGAAATACAAAGTTGTAAGTAATATAAATATATCTGCATGTACAAAAGGAAAGAATTCTTAATATGAATATTCACTGATCAGTAATGGCAAGGATGAAGAATGTGACAGTTTCTACCAATGCCTATAGTCAGAAACGGATTAAATCAAGGTGCATTAGTAGTAGTGAGTGGTGACTGGCTTGCTAGATTCAGAAGAGGTCATGAACTTGGGGCATTACTGCTAGTATCATCTTATTTAATAGCAGAGTACAGCAGAAAGATGTGTTTTATTGACTATGTAGACGCATTCTTCCGTGTGGATAATAATAAATTATGGATAAAATTGAGAAGAATGGGGATTTCATAGCACTTAATTGTATTCACATGAAAACCTACACATAAACCAATATTTGGACAGTTGTCTAAACAGAACAAGGAAATATTGTATAGCTTAAAATCAGGAAAGGTGTGCATCCAAGGATGTATCCTTTAACAATATCTATTCAAGCTGTATGTTGGCAAATAATTTGAGAAGCTGGAAAATATGGAGAAGAGCATGACTTTAGGAATGAAGAAAAACTCATTAATAACTTGAGATATGCAGACGATATACAACCTTATTCAATGAAAGGGAATAGGATCTAAATTCATTGATGAATATCACAATCTATAGCCTTCAGTATGGATTATAGTTCAATATAAATAAAACAAAAGTTTCATGAGTTGTCCAATAAATAAATCTGGATTAATGGAGAGAAGATTGAAGTTTGTTAGGCTCTGAAAGAGAGAAAGAATGTAGTTGGAGAAGGAAATAGGATTCAAATTGGACATTTAGAATCTGCATTCTTATTACTTCATACCACCTCACATAGTAAGACTGGTAATTAAGAATCAAACAAAGTTCCTTGAAACTGGCTGTCAAGGAAGTTGCAAAGTAGTAGAGGAGTAAGCACAAATAACTAATTGTATGATTAGGTTCAGTAAGGACAATTAATCACAGATTAAATTTGTGAAAGAAGAGAAGAGGGTGTAAATGAGAAAGGAAAGAGATGTGTTCTAAACTAAGTTTTAGAAGAATGCCAAGGATTTCATCTGTCAGAGGTCATGGGAGGGAAGGATGGCATTAATTGGATTAATTCTTCAAGGAGACAGTATGTACCAATTAATTGCATAGGGAATGATATAGTATGCATGGGAAACTAAGAGAGGAAGACTGAGTTGATGGATTAAGTTTGGAAGGATGTTAATTAAAGATTATAAACTACCTTAATGCTACAGTCAGGATATTTTTGGCTTTCGATACACAAAAATTATCAAACACCTTGAAAACAGAGATATGATGTGACCATTTCTGAAGGACAAATGATGGCAACAAAAATGAGGGTCCACTGTTAGAATAAAGCATGGTCAGCATGGTGAAAGGAAACAGTATTTTCACTTTTAGTAAAGAAAGCAGCACACTAAATTGACTTTATATTCTACTCACACGAACTCAACATCATCTAAATGCTATTACAAATATATAATGTCCATAATTTACTTGTAGCATATTCTAAAGAAGTGGCACTAGGTTAGATGATTATAAGGGGGAAAAAGTAGATACATATTACATAAATGGAAATAAGCATTTACAAGACACAAGTCTCAGAAAAAGTTTCACCCTGTTAGGACATTTACAAATTAATTCTTTTGTACTTTCTATATGATAATACTGAAAGACTAGAAAGATCAACAATATTAGAATCTGTGTGTTTCTGAACCACCTCATAACTGGGCCACCAGTGGGTATTCAGAGCCAGTAAATCTCAAGAGATGAGAATGTCTATCCTTTTCTTCTGGGGAGAAACTAGTGAATTTGAACTGTGTGCCTTTAGGACTGCAGGGCAGCTTTTTACCAATAGACAACCAGGATCTAGTGAAAAGTAGTCCTTTTTAAAAATTGCAAAAATATGTTCAAGCTACTCTTCCATTTAACAGATACAGATGTTCTAATTACATCATGTTCTATATTAGGAAACACATAATTTTATGAAAGAGTTCTTAAAATAGTATCCCCCCCAATTTACACTGAAATAGAAACTATTAAACTAGGTAATTCAAGATTATGGGGAACAGGAGGCGTGCACTCTGGACATTAGCAGGTAGTCAGAATTGAGAAATGCATTACTGAGAAATTTGTGTGTCTGTAAGCCTTTGCCTGCTTGCTTTGCTGCCTTTCCAATCTGCAGCTTCTGAAGAGGAGATGCAGGTATGCTTGGGAATCACCAACAATAATTGGGAGCTACCTTGTGGAGAGGATGGTGGTTCCTTATGTTTCTGTCTGCTCAGCAGGAATAGCCACCTCCTAATCTAACTCTGGTAGGTGCATGGTTCTGGACAGTAGGGGGTAGGCAGAATTGGGAATTATCTTAGTTTGCTTTAGCAAGAATAGTGCCAGTCACCTATGCCAATCAGCCCTAGAAGAGGGCGAAGATACATGGTCATTAGCAACTACTGCAGACAGTGCTACTTTGCTGGGCCTTTCTCTGAGCAATATATCCTAAAGAACTCTCAAAACTTAACTACCCCTGAGGAAACCTCTCCTCATTTCCTTAAGTCCCCACCAATCAAACTATAGGACAAGACAGAGAATTGGACCAGAGCTTGGAAAAGGTCACTGTCCCTCAATTGACAACCAGATGAAAAGCTTACCATAGGAAAGAAGGAACAGATCTGCACACAGATGACCAGAAGGATATACTGTCACTGGGAAACTCAATTGGGAGGCATCAATTTAAGTCTACAACTTGTCAAGATTCTAAAGAGTAAGAATGTCAGCAGCCTATTCAGGCACAACAAAAACTGCCTCCCCCTTCCCAGGAAGAACTTCACATAATATCAAGAAAGTAGCAGGCAACTTTGAACATTTAGGAAAAAACAAAACAAGACTTCTCCTAATAGAGGCAGATTAAATTACAGACTCAGAGAACACTCCTGAGATAGGCAGAAGAAATTTAACAATGTGAAGTGATATGAACAGTTGCTGAAGAAGTTACAAATGATGGAAGAAAGAATTGAA